GCACTTTCCACAGTTCCCCGCTTTGGCTGGTGCAAAGTGATAAAGTTGATAGTACTTTTATTTTTCATATGAGCTCCTAGAATGAGGGACTAAGCTCGCAGCTTTTCCCTGTGGAGAAAAAGTTGGACCACACAAATAGCACTCCAACTTTTCTGGCTGCCACTTGAGGGACTGGGTTTTATTTCACCTGCCTCAGAACACTGATAGGACCTGACATGTGCTAGATTCCTAGAAGCCTAGAACAAAACTTGTGGTTTCAAGTAGCATGAAGGTTTGAGAGGCATCAAGAATCTCCGATATGATTGGTGAGGTTCTCATCCTACGTGAGGCCAGTCTGTGAAGGCTGGAAAAAAACCGTTTTGTCTAATGGAAAGACACCAACACAGAGAGTCAAGGAAAATGAAGAAGCAGGGAAATATGCTCCAATTTATATATATATATATATGATAAATCTTCTGAAACTGATCCTCATCAAATGAAGAGATATGACTTACCTGATGGAAAATTTAAAATAACTAAAATGAAGATACTCAGTGAGTTCAGAACAATGCCTGAACAAAATGAGAATTTCAATATTCAAGAACAGACTAGATCAAGCTTAATCATTAATAAAAGCTTAATGAATTGGAACACAACTCATTGAACTCACTGGAAATCATCCATCATCCAGAACAGCAAAACAAACAAACAAACAAAACAATGAATAAGAGTCAAGAAAGCTTATGCATTATGGGAGTCCCAAAGGATGAGAGAGAGTAAGAGAACCAGTAACCTTATTCAAAGAAATAACAGCTGAAAACTTCCCAAATATGGATAAGGAAATAGACATCAAGTCCAACAATCTCAAAGAACACCAAATAAAATAAACCCAAAGAAATTCACATTGAGGCACATTATAATCAAATTGTCAAAAGTTAAGGACAAAGAAAAAATTTCGAAAGTAGCAAGAGAAAAGCAATTTGTCATGTACAAAAGAAAACAAACCTTCATAAGACTATAAAAAGACTTTTTGGAAAAAATCTTGTAGGCCAGAAGGCAGTGGGCTGATATATTCAGTGCCAAAAGGAAAATATTGTCACCCTAGAATACTATAACTGTCAAAACAGTTCTTCAACCAAAGTTGTGATAAAAACTTTCCCAAACAAAAGCTGAGGGACCGTATCACCACTAGACCTACCTTACAAGAAATGCTAATGGAAAAGGAAATTCATTAACTTGAAATGAAAGGATGATAAACAAAAACATAATAGCAGAAGATAGTGTAAAACTCATTGGTAAAGATAAATACATAGACAAATACAGAATACTGTATTGATGTAATGGTGGTGGGTAAATCACTTTTAATTCTAGCATAAAAGCTAAAAGTCAGAAGTATTAAAAATAACTAAAAATATGTTAAGGAATATAAAATAAAAATAGACATCAATAACATGATGGGGAGAGAAGACAAAGTATAGAGTTTATGTATGAAAGTGAAGTTTAATTGTTATGAGTTTAAGATAGACCTATACGATATGATTTTAGTGAGCCCTATAATAACCCAAAAAACCCTATAGAAATTACACAAAAGTAGAAAAGAATCAAAACCTATAAATATAAAACAATAACAAAAACAACAACAAAACACACAAAAATAGGAGTAGAAAAAAGCAATGGCTAGAATTACTACCCTGGAATAAAAGAATGATTCAACATAGCAAAATCAATTAACTCAATATATCACATTAACAGAATGAAGTACAAATATCACATGATCATCTGAATTGGTGCAGAAATAGCATTTGATGAAATTCAATATCCTTTCATAATAAAAAACTCTCAACAAACTATTAATGAAGGGAAAGTTCCTCAACTTAATAATGGCCATATATAAAAAGCTCACAGATAATATTATACTCAACAGTAAAGACGTGAAACATTTCTACCAAGATCAGAAACAAGGCAAGGATGCCCATTCTCACCTCTATTCAAGATAGTATTGGAAGTCCTAGCAAGAGCAATTAGGCAAGAAAAAACAAAAGGCATCCAAATAAGAAAGGAAGAAGTAAAATCATCCCTGTTTTCACATGGCATGATTTTATACACAGAAAAACCTAGACTCCACACACAAAAAAATTAAAATTAATAAGCAAATTCAGTAAAGAGACATGACACAAAAATCAGTTGCATTTCTATACATTAATAAGAAACTATCTGAAAAGGAAACTAGGAAAACAATCTGCCTTCATTCATTTGTGATGATATAACAAAATACCTGAGACTTGGTAGTTTATAAAGAACAGAAATTTATTTTGCTCTTAGCTACAGAGGCTGGGATGTCCAAAATCAAGGTGCGGGCAGGTTCAATGTCTAATGAAGGCCTGTTTTCTCTGCTTCCAAGATAGTTGCTACATCCACTGAAGGAAACAAACGCTGTGTCTACACATGGCTGGGGGCCAAAAGGCAAAAGGGGCAAAACCACTCCCTCAAGCCCTTTTATAAGGGTTTTAATCCCATCCATGAAGCTTCACTCTCTAATCACCTGCTAAAGGCCCTGCCTCTCAATACTATCACATTGGCAATTAGGTTTCAACATATAAATTTTGGGACACACATTCAGCCCATAGCACAATACCATTTACCAAAATATCAAAAGAATGAAATATGTAGATATAAACTTAATTAAAAGGCTTACACACTAAAAATTACAAAATATTGATGAAAGAAATTAAAAGTAGACACAAACAAAAGAAAATACATCAGATATTCACAAATTGGAAGAATTTACTCTGTTAAGATGCCCATGCTACCCAAAGTGAGCTACAAATTCAATGCAACACACATCAAAACCCCAATGACATTTTTTACAGAAGTAGAAAAAAAAATCTAAAATGTGTTTGGAACCACTAAATATCACAAATAGACAAATCAATCTTGAGAAAGAACAAAAAAGCTGGAAGTATCACTCTTCTTCTTTTTAAAATGTATAATAAAGCTACAGTAATCAAAACAGTATGGTACTTTCATAAACACAGACCTATAGACCAGTGGAAATAGAATAAATGGATCAGAAATAAATCAACTGATCAGCAGAGAGTAGATCATAGGACTTCTAGCTTCTGTTACCATATGAGCCAATTCCTATTATATATTTATCTTATGTAATATACAATATTTACAACATATATAGTATAGCATAATATATACAGCATATATCTGTTAAATATACATTCTCTTATCCTTGCCTTTTGCACATTCTGAAGTATAAACCCAGAGAAAGCTGGCTTTTCTCCCAGCTTCTGGGAGCTAACCTCTAAATCTACAAAAGCATCTTTATTAGATTACGCTAAGGTAATCTGGCCACACCAGAAATTACAACCATGTGAGTAGACAGTTGAGGCTTTGAGGCATGCAATATTAGCCCTACTTCAGGGGCAGAGTGTGATTAGATTTTGAGAACAACCTTAAGGGCAACGATTCAATCAATCATACCTATGTAATGAAACTCCTGGGAAGACTCTGGACACAGAAGCTCTAGTTGGTTTCCCTAGTTGGCAATACTCTGCATAATGTGACACATCAGTGTGACAGGAGGGTAACTCATCCTGACTACATGGGGAGAGAACAACTAGAAATTCATGTTTGGAACCCTCCTAGACCTTATCCTATGTCTCTCTTCTTCTGGCTGGTTCTGATTTATCCTTTTATTATACTAAAATCATAATTTTAAATGTGACCCTTTTCTGAGTTCTGTGAGTCATTCTAGTGAATTATTGAACCTGATGGGGTAGAGGGATTCCCCAAATTTATAACTACCTGGTCAAAAGTGAGGGTAGCTTGGGGACTTCTGAATTTCTAGCTGGTGTCTGAAGTGAGGGCAGTCTCATGGAGGACTGTGCCCTTAATCTGTAAAAAATGTTTGCTTTACCTCCAGGGTGTTTGTTTAAAAAATCATTGTACCCACTCTCTAAATGGATTTGTTGTTGTTGGTAAGTTTTGAGAGTTCTTTATATATTATAGATACTAGTACTTCGTAGGACATCTAGTCTGCAAATTTTTCTTCCCATGCTCTGGTCCCTCGTGATGATGCACTGGCCTCTGAGTGGCTCCTTTTTATCAGTTGTTGTGGCTCTCACTCCTGTGTGGATCCAGGGGAACCCTGTTAGTGGTCTTGCTGGCCTGGGGGCCACCAAGGCCCTCTTCTCCCCTGCCACCTCCAGACAACTCCATCCAAAGGACACAGCTGCAGCTTTTGTCAGCTCCTGCTCCATGCAGTCAGCAGCTCCAGCCTGGAAGTGGCTGGGATTAGAAATGCTCAGAGCAGTTTTTTCTTTCTCTCATCGTGGCTTCTCCCACCTTCATGCACTCTGTAGGTCTCTCCTCCTCTTCCCCTGAGCTCCAGCAGCCCCAGCCTGACTGTCGTTGCCTTTTTAAATTGTAAATTGGTTGATTTGTGGGAGAGAGTGATGCTGGGGATGGTCTATTCTGCCATCTTGACCAGAAGTCTCCTCATTCATTATTAAAAACATTGAGTGGTTTCGGCTAGCACACTCATTTTTATGCTCCTCTGTATGCAAAGCAAGAACTGCCTGTATAGGAAAATTTTATATGTAGTCATAGGGGTGGAGATTGAGACTGATTATACCCGAGGTTCAAAATATTAAGTATCAATTCATACAAAAACATTTATTTAATTTAGAATCATGCTCTTCAAATCCCTGTATTATGCCACTCTATGATATTTTTTATTTTTGCTGTCAACAGATATTATAAATGGACATTAATATTTTTGGCAGATGTAGATTAAAATGATCGGAGACATGAAGGAAGACATAGCAGATGAGGTGCACGTGAAGAGCGGGGGGCCACTGCCTTCTTCTCAGGCAAGTAGCATCGACCCAGCTGCTGTTACAGCTTTTATTACATGTAGCAAGCAGTGCATGCAAGATAAGCATTGATGCATAAATTCTGTTATATTTTTCTCAAGAGCAGAAGGCCGTTACCTCCCTTCTCAAGCACTTGGTTATCTATAATGCACCTCCTGGGAACATCCCAAGAAAGTGTTCTCAGAACTTCAAACGTTCTCAAGGATTGTTTGTAATCCTTGATATTTCTTGGTTGTTAACTCATATGTGAGTTCACCAAGTGAACACGTCCTTGGGTGCTGACCACAGATGTCCATTAGCCATTTCCTTCAGGCAGACCCAAAAAAACAGAGCAGCAACTGTATATAACAAATTACAGTGGATGAAGAGCTTAAGGCACTTTGGCAACTATAACTATGACTGTTTGGCTTGCTACAAATCCATTTCCTCTCTGTGTAGACGCTGGCACTACTGACTCCTAACTCATTCAGGTAGGCAGATTCTCCAACTCCTCTGATGGCAACCCTAAAACCAAACACAAAATTATTCAATATTCATAAACTGGACATCTACATTTGTTCCTCCAATATAATCTTCAGCACCCCTACTCTATATTTTTTAATGTGAATAAGAGAAAAACAAATGTCTGTTATTAATACTGCCTCTTAATAATATACACCATTGCTATATACAGTTTCTTTTATGTTCTCAAGGTCCTTGCTTGAATAGCACTAGTTTATCATTCATCCATACCAAACCCAGTTGTGTTGTGGATTAGGCATTTCATTGGGGTTTGCTATGCCTGCTTTTGTACTCAAATTAACTGCTGCTATCAGTGGCTTTCAGAGAAGATTATTTTCAGTCTTCTCCTGAACTGTTTAATACATGTGTAAATATATATATATATATTTGCTTACTAGTGAATGATTAAAACGGCTTAGCTTTGATTGATGGAAGTAACTGGGTCCCTACATTTCATCTGCTCCAATGTAATAGTTACATTCAAATTACACCATGGAAATGCCCACAACCCAAGGAACTGTTACTAGTGTCCTTCTGGTAACAAAACACTAGGAGTGATTCCCACAAGCTTCCTGGAGACTTTCCTTTTATGAATAGATGCGGCAGCTGGAAGTGTGGACTTAAGAGTATTGTGGACACCAGTTCTCCTGTGGCTTCCTAAGATTTTAGAACCCTTGCTGTGCACCAGCTGTTCTGTCTACATCCTGAATAGGATTTCAGCAAAGGAAAGTTTTACACCAGTGATTCAAAGTCCAAGAACTATGTCAGACGTCATCATATCAAAGATTTTAACTGAAATCACTAGTAAAGTCTTCCCAAAGGCATAGCTAATAAATGGAGCAGCATAAAAAGTATATTTCTTATCTCATACTACAGTAAGTTTTCCATGATATTACACTTCTCACCCCCAAAACATAATTCACACACACAACCACATATAAACATTAAAGGAAAAGGAGTCTCAAAACATACGAGAAATTATATTCAGTACTGTCTGTCCATTTCCAAGTGTGATGTAATGGTTCTCTGCTAAGGCCAATCCAGTGATCAGAAGAGCCTTTGTATCTTCTGAGGAACTTCTATTATAAAACACAGAAAGTGAAAACACGTATCTCTTTCTCTCGTATTACTCTTGAGTCTTGATCCTACAGCCTTCTCTTTTTGGGTGGGAGCATGGTGTTATTGAGAAGCACAGACTTTGGAGTTAGACTAGTTCTCAATTCTTCCAATCCTAAATTACTTTATTTAAAGTAACCATCCCCCAGTTTAAATGGGAAAGTCCCAGTTTATATCTGTCATTCCAGCATATTAACAACACCCATTTACAATACCAAGATGTCCAAACTTGGATGGCAAATTACATGATTACCTTATTTCTCAGTAGAATGGGAAAAACACATCTAATCCTGCAGGTTAACTACGAGGATTACATGAGAAAATGTATTAAAATGTCTAGCAGTGTCCCAGGCAGAAAATATAACAAATGTGAGACACTAACATACATCTCATGCCCCAAATTCTGCCTGGAATGGGATCCTTCTTTATCCTTCAGCTTTCACCCTCTGCAGCCTACCCTTTCAGGAGGAAACATGATCCAAAAACATTTCTTACCAATTCTTCCATGGTTTCAAACTGAGCAAGACTGGCTTCTAATGAGGCACAGAAGGTCTGGCTGAAAGTCCAATTTCTTGCATCTTCAGAAAAATAAAAACACTTGCTTCCAAATCCAATCCAGTTTTCTGGGCAGACAGCATACACATGATGCTCTATTGTTGCCTTTTTCTCTAAAAGTTAAGACAATCATAATGAAGTAAAAAATACATTTTCTCGGGCCGAGCCCGTGGCGCACTTGAGAGAGCGCGGCACTGGGAGCGCAGCAGCGCCCCTGCTGCGGGTTCGGATCCTATATAGGGATGGCCGGTGCACTCACTGGCTGAGCGCGGTGCGGCCGGTCTCTAAAAGGACAAAAAAAAAAAAAATACATTTTCTCATCTCTTTTATTTTTCTGCTTACTATCCTGAGGTCAATTTCAAAGTGTGTATATTCAATTGTTGCTTTCCTAACATCACTAGGAGTCTTTTCCTAAGCAGAACAGTCCTTAGTCCAGTGGTCTTCAAGCTAGGTACTTGTACCCCTGACTTTCTGACGTATACAATAACACTAATAGTTTCAAGGAAATAAGTTTTTATAACATCAACTTCTGTAGTACTATACTACTCTCTCCTAGGATCATACAGATTTTCTCTTTCCCGATCCTCCTTTATATTAGCCCTTCTTCCCCTAAACAAAAGAAAGGCAGACTCCTTAGGTTTCCTGAATTTTTACTATGGTACATTTCTGGGGGTATAAAACCTTCTTCCAGTGGACAAAACATAGTATAATTCAAAATAGTTTTTGGTACCAAAATACAATCGAGGACTTCCTGTAGTTTTCTGTTTTATATATATTTTCATTAAATATGTATAATAGTTTTTTTGGCCCTTGTTACGAGATGTTCTGCAATCAGCAAGATTTCAGAGTGAGGCTATGGGAGGAACACACGTTTTTGTTTTATAACATCATCTTTTCCTCCCTTAGCATCCAAGAAAGAAGGTATTGCTTTTTGGAAGGTCTAATGAGACCAAAGCAGAAAGGGATTTGGTAAAAAAATACTGAATAGAAAAAATGGCTCTTATTTCCCCTCATATTTAAAGATAAGCAATTCTTTATAGTCACTCCCAATTCTCACCCCTAGGAATAGTCATGAAATAAGAGGGTAAAAGCAAACAGCTTTTAGTATCACTTTTTAAGTACTGCTGCTTCTTTTAATATAACAAAAACTGTTTTCAGGGATTATGAAATACTTTAGGTTCCACTGAATAAAATCCATTGGTAAAATGTTAACCTTATTTTTTTTTTTTTAGACTGGGTGTGCGTTATTCATTAAGGTAGTTAAAGCTAATTTTATAAAATAATATGAAATAACTACTCCAGTTACAGTCATTTCTCAGCTTATTTCCTCATACAAAGTGTTTAATATGTTATTCTGTTATTAACAAAAAATAAAATTATATGCTACCTATTGGACCAATCAAGTTTTTTGGAAGGAAAAGATTAGTAGTTAAGACCACTTCATTATAGTCACAGGAAAAATTTCATGTTGATGTTTAGTTTTAGTCATGGAGTTATCTCAGAGTTTTCATCAATGATTCTAATTTAATCACTCCAAAGACAAATATCACAGTTATAAACACTATGTGCAGGAACTTAGAAAAGAATTAGCATGTCTTTTGTCATACTGCCCAACTAGTAATTAACTCATAGCTTTAGCTGTACATGATATTGCATTATGGCAAATTATTGGCAGCAGAATATGGATTAATTCACATATTAAATATTTTTAATAATACATAATTTTTTTCTTTTGATAATTATCAAAATTTGTAATATATTAAGTTGCTTTAAAATATTGAATATTACTAAAAACTGTACTTCTCTCTTAAGAAATCATTTTGAGAAAGTCTTAGGGTCTTATGATTTTTAAAAATAAAATAATAATGTATATACATATTTTGTGGCAGAAAAAAATTTAAAATTGGTATTTGAAGAAAATGAACAAAGTAAAAATTTTCTGAGATTAAGGAAGTTTTGGTTCATGTATTTTTAAAATAGATAATGGTAGGTATCAAATCACAACCATATTATATAGATATATTTAAAAGAACAATGTAACAGATTAATTTAAGCATGTCAACATTTACAATGTGCTAGAAATTATATCATTTGCAACTATTTAAATGTTTGATGAAAAATGTTAAATGATAACACATAAATTTGCCAGGGGATACTTACTTTTTCAAAATATTTTAGGTTACATCTTAGGAGTTACAGGAACAACAAACTCTTGAAGGCCACTAATACGATAGGAACACGTATACAGTTCCTTACTGATGTTGTCTCTCCCTGAGCAGTCCCTAAATGTGCCCCACAATGCTGAGGACCTATTGCCTCCATATACAAATGATGAGGATTTTTTTTTTCCTTTTTAAGTACAGGCATACCTCGTTTTATTGCATTTTGCAGATGTTGCGTTTTTTACATATTGAAGGTTTGGGCTAACATGTCGAGCAAATCTGTTGGTGCCATTTTTCCAACAGCATGTGGTCATTCTTGACTCTTGTCACATTTTGGTAATCCTCACAATATTTCATGCTTTTCCATTATTATTCTGTTTTAGTGATCTGTCATCAGTGATCTCTGACGTTACCATGGTAATTATTTGGGGCACCGTGAGCCACGCCCATATAAGATGGCAAACTTAATGATTAAATGTTATGTGTGTTCTGGCTGCTCCACTCACTGGCCTTTCCCCATCTCTCTCCTTCTCCTCAGGCCTCCCTGCAATGGCCTCTAAGTGTTCAGGTGAAAGGAGGAGTCTCATGTTTCTCACTTTAAATCAAAAGCTAGAAATGATTAAGCTTAGTGAGGAAAGTATGTTGAAAGCTGAGAGAGGCCAAAAGCTAGGCCTCTTGCACCAAACAGTTAGCCAAGGTGTGAATGCAAAGTTAACGTTCTGGAAGGAAATTAAAGGTGCTACTTCAGTGAACACATGAATGATAAGAAAGCGAAACCACCTTATTGCTGAGATGGAGAGTATTTTAGTGATCTCGACAGAAGATCAAATGAGCCATGACATTCCCTTAAGCGAAGGCCTAATTCAGAGCAAGTTCCTAATTGTCTTCAGTTCTACAAAGGCTGAGAGAGGTTAGGAAGCTGCAGACGAAAAATCTGAAGCTAGCAGAGATAGGTTCGTGAAGTTTAAAGAGGAAGGCAGCTCCGTAACATCAAAATGTAAGGTGTAGCAGCAAGGGCTGGTGTAAAAGCTGCAGCGAGTTATCCAGAAGATCTAGCCAAAATCATGATGTAGGACTTTCACAGCTCAGAACACACACATCCAGGACTTTTGTAGCATAGAAGTCAATGCCTGGTTTCAAAGCTTCAAAAGACAAGCTGACTCTCTTGTTATCATCAGGTCTACGCCATCATCATCTCTCCCTTTGATTTCTACAAGATTTTCCTAATAGGTGTCCCAGCTAATACCCTTGTCTCCTAACACTCTATTCTCAGTACAGCAGTCAAACGATTATTCTACAATGAAAGACACATCATGAGATTCCTGTCCTACAACTTCCCTTTTCCTAATCTTCCTGTGGCACTAAAAGTGAAGGCCAGTCTTTAAATGACTGACAAGGGGACTCCCATCCTGCCCTGCTTGCCTACCGTATTACTCTTCTTCTCTATCCTCGTCTGCATTAGCCATAGAAGCCCCCTCGCTGCTCTTCAAACCAGCCAGGAGATCCTCCTCAGGACGTTCACTCTCCGTGTTCTCTGTCTGGGATAGGCTCCTTCATCTCCTTCAAGAGGTTAATGAAATGTCATCTCCCCAAGGAGACTTACCATGGGCATCCTATGCATACTGCGGCCTGTTCTACCCCTTCCTTTATTTATTATTATATGCATCTTCCTGGTAGAATATAAGTTCCCAGAAGGCACTTCACACAGTGGCACAAAATGGAGCTCAATAAATATTTATTGACAGTGTAAATGTGTGGAAAATACTGCATAGTTTAGAGAACAAGTAACTTACCTGACAAAACAACAGAAAATGCAATAACGCATGTAGTCAGGACCGCAATAATGAGAAAACAACAATTAACCTTGGCAAGGGTTACATGAGTTATAATTTCTAGACATTTTCTCTGACGAGTTTTCCCTGTAAAAGACAAATATCAGAATCTCAATGTCATGAAGGTGTTAGGGAGAAAAAAATAAATTTATCATAGAATCAACTCTAGGCTCAGCTGTCCTTCAGCTCTCCTACTGCTAACCCCCTTTCACAAAAGGTTTGGGTCCATAAATGATACCAATGGCCCAAAGAGGGCTAGAGATATGGAAAACTGAATTTTTCCCCCAGGGAATCTTCCAGTTATTGGAATAAGAGTTAATGAGAGAACAAGAAACAAAAAGTAGAAATCAGGATGAAAAAGAAACATATAGGGCCAACCCTGTGGCTCAGTCGGGAGAGTGTGGTGCTGGGAGCGCAGCGGTGCTGGGAGCACAGCGGTGCTGGGAGCGCCGAGGCCGCGGGTTCGGATCCTATATAGGGATGGCCGGTGTGCTCACTGGCTGAGCGCGGTGCAGGTGACACCATGCCAAGGGTTGCGATCCCCTTACTAGTCACAAAAAAAAAAAAAAAGAAACATATAAACCATCCAGATTTACCTTCAGAGTAAAAGACACAGTGAGAAGTACTGAGGGAAACATTAAAAAATAAGTCAATGTAATTCACCGTGTTAACAGAATAAGAGATGGGAAAACACATGAGTACCTTAAAAAATGCAGCAAAAGCATGTGAAAATTTTAATAATCATCCATAACAACTCTCAACAAATTAGGAATTGAAGGACATTCCTCAACCTGATAAAAGAATCTACAGAAAACTTCAGCTAGCATCATACTTAATGGTAAAAGAATGAATGCTTTTCCCCAGTGATCAGAAATAAGGCAAAGATGTCTGCTCTCATCAATCCAACTTAACATTTTACTGGAGGTCCTATCGGGGAGCAATAATGCAAGAAAAAGAAATAAAAGTCAAACAGATTCTATTCACAGACAGCATGGTTGTCTACGTAAAAAATTCTAAGGAATCCATCAAAAGGCTACCAGAACTAATAAGTGAGTCTAGCAAAGCTGCAGGATACAATGTAAATACATAAAAAATTATTCTGTATTCTAGTAATTTTCAAGTGGAAAGTAAAATATAAATACAGTACCATTCTAGCCTAAGTCTCATTTATAAGTCATTGTCTGCTCTGCAGGACAAACAGACTGTCTCAGGCCTTTGTACTATGTTCTCCAGACCCATTACACGCCCCCTAAGAACCATTTATTCCTACATCTCATCTCCAGTTTCCCTGTGAAGAGAGGTTTATAAGCTCTGGACTCCAATGGAAAACTGGAACATTACTCTCTCGTGATTCCCCCATGTTCTGCCATCTCCCAGCACAATAAATAATAAAATTTGTTATATCTTTTCTTCATATTGATCTAAATTTGTCAGTGATTTTTATTAAAAAACTTCAGAGGTGAAGAGGAAGTTTTCTCTTGGTCCCTACACTTTACCGTTCTTATTTCTCTTTCTCATTTATTTATTATTTATACATTCTTTACTTACATTTACATTATATACAAATATATCCCTTTATAAATTATTATACATTACAATTATTATTTATTTATTTACTTATTTTTATTTATTTACTTATTTCTTTTTCTTAGTTATTTCACTGTCTTATGGTGTTCCCTCTTTCTATAACCTTCCCAATTTATATGCTTTTTATAATAGACTCTGAACACAATGCCCTTCAAATATTCAGCTGGAAAAACAGTATTAGGAATTAAGCCTCAGAAGAACAATGAACTATATTACTGGACTAATTATAACTCTTAGTTTCATGACTTAAAAAAACTTACTTAACTTACAAAAACAGCAATGACTGGTCAAATATTTAGTTTCAGTTTTGCAAGCATAAGCTTAGCTGATAAACATCAACATTCTTTAAGCATTTCTTTTTTTACTGTTGTTAAATATACACCCTGTTTTCTGAGAAATCCAATATCCTGTCCTCCCAAACAAAAAACTAAAATTGAAGGAGGAGGGAAGAAGAAAAGAAAAAGATTTAAATAAATGTTTTTCAAAAAGCAAAAGAGAGGTAAGGAACTGAAGCAGAACCTGAAGCAGAAACATGCACCCATTATGTTGTTTGTTCCTCTTCCTCATAAAATTTGCCATAAACTGAAAGTGCTAAAGGATTTGCTGATGGTTGTGTTCAGCCTTTCACCCACACCCCTGAATCCCTGCATCTCTTTTTAATTACTAAGGATCTATAAAACAAAAGTCTCAGCTTCTGCAGGGCAACTTCTGTTAGTACAAATACTGCACAGTCGTTGGAGGCCAAGTTTGCCCTCATTCTGGGATATAAAGGACCTTTTATTTAACATCATAATGTGACTTGATAGAGTGCAAGTCACCAGAGACCTGGGAAAAATAGAGAACTAATGATATGAACACAAAGAACATTTTTTTCCTCATACTCTTGTAATCTAATTCACTGTTCATTTCTCATGCCCCAGAAATACTTAAATAACATACACAGTAATACACTAACCGATGGAACAATTACACACCTATCCTCCCATCCACCCCTGGCCCCTCCAAACATGTCCCCTTCTGTGGAGATTGTGAAGTGCTAACACGGCTGAAACCCAGTTTCCCTCATGCTTCAGTGGAAGAAAAGTGCCCTCCCCCTGTATCTCTTTTCAAATTCCATCTGCAATGTTACCAGATTCTTCCTCTTCCAAGCCATCTCTGCAGGTAAGGTCTGTCTTTAACGTAACCAGTGCAGCCTCTGAAGGCATCATCTTTCTTAGATCAACAGCCTAAGCCTTCCTCGTATGCATGGGTTGTAGAAATAATGTTAATCCACCATCAACATTTCCTCAGTCTCAGCCAATGCGGTACAAGTTCAAGCCCTCTGGGGGGAAAAAAAAGAAAAGAAATGAAACTCAAAATGCCTTAGAATTTCAAAATGTGAATCTCTTTTAACCTAACTCCACAGCGTTCTCTCTCTTGCCTACATAGAATAACAAGAACCAGTTCTACTCTCCTGCTGAAATAAACTAAAAAGAAGGAAAAAAAAGATAAAGTGTATTAAAAAGATCCTTTGGAAGACAACACTGGCTATCACCCACTGAAGGGCAGCAATCCTCTGGAAACAAGATAGCTGAGCCTAAGATTTCCTCAGCTTACTACCCTGAAAATTTCCAGGGTGGGCTTAAGAAAGGGAACCCCAAGCAGATGCCAATGGATTCCACAAATTGAGTAGATGGAGCTCAGAGACAACACCTCCAGATGACAGAGTATCAGAATGCAGAAAGACGTATAGAGAAGTCGAGGTCAACAGAGTCCATCCTTGACTACTCACAGTAACTGATAGTACCCTGACATGTGTGAGAAAACCACCTGCAGATAGAGAAAAAAAACAAAAGCAAAAACAACAAATGAGATGACGGCAGGAAACAGCATCCAGCGTTCTCATGGAAATGAAAATAGTGAGTGTTCACAACAGCCAGACTGGAATAGCTCATCACTCAAGGGTAATTTCCAGAGGACTCAAAATACCTTGCCTCAGTAGTGGGGAGTGATTAGCTATAGATTATACAGTGTTCTGATCCCCTCTAACAAATCTTTAAAGGAAGACCCAAAAGTACAGAACTGCTTCCAAATATTTTAATTATGTCCCAGAACAAATTCAAGAATTTTTAGAGGAATGCAAAAATATCCAGCACCCAACAAAATAAAATTTACAGTCTCTGGAGTGTAATCAAAGATTGCAAAACAGAAAAGAATCTGTAAACTCAAATACCCATTAATAGTAGAATGGAAACATACTATGGTGTGTTAATGCTGTGAAATACTATACAGCAATGGACAATGAACAAATTCCTACTACAGGCAACAACATGGATGAATCTCAAAAACCTAATGTTCAGTACAAAAGGTCAGACCCTACAGAATACATCTTGAACTGTTCCATTTATACAAAGTTTGATAACAAGCAAAAATAATCTGTCAAATCAAGAAAAAGGATTCTTTTGTGGAGCAAGAAGAGAAGAGTTATTGGCAGACACTGCTGGTAATATCCATGTCATGATTAGGGTGGTGGTTGCATGGATGGGTGCTTTCTTTGTGATAACCAGGTATAAACTTGTGATATATAATTATTCACTGTGCTAAATAAAAATATTTACTAGATATATTTGTAACAAAAAAAATACCCGTTTTACAAATAAAACCACTCATTGTGCACATTACATGAATTAGATTGGGTGTTTGGGGGAAGTGTGGGGGGTAGAAATGAGACAGAAAAAAGAAATAAATAAAATAGGAGAGTCTTTACAAGTGTCTGTGATGATAGTGTGTCATCAACTTTGTCTACAATTAACTTACCACGTGGGGAACAGGGGTGTTTTTCTTTGGGAAACGGCTTTATGCAGGTGATGGCACTTTTACTGAACCTTAAAGGAAGGGTAGGATTTCTGCAGAAAAAGCTGAAATTATTTCAGCTACAAGGAATGAGTTAGAACAATGATTCTCTACCTTGCCTATACATTTGAATCACAGGGGGCTTTTAAAAAGCAATTCTAATGCACAACAACTGACCAATTAAGCGCAGATACTTACGTGAAAATGTAAAGCCGTTTGTTTTCTCTTCTATAATAATGACCTAGTAATGCTATTTACAGGAAAGGTATCCTTTAAAACACCTAAACATCAGAAATTGTCGCTTTGCCCTGTAGAAGACTGCAATGTAATAATTTGCTTTGACTTAATAATTGTCCCACTTGTAAACGATACCTTTGTCTCCTGACAGTACAATTACTTTTCTCCTTGTAAACCAGAGCTTTGGAATTTCTTTTCTTGCTGTTAAAGTAAATTGAAACGCAGAGCAGACGTGAAGAATCCCTAAGCCGACAAAAACGGTTAGGCATCATAAGCTTTGCAAACAGAAGCGAAACTTAATGAGCTATTTCTTGTAAATGCCTCTATTCAAAGAAAAGCAAACAGAAGCGAAACTTAATGAGCTATTTCTTGTAAATGCCTCTATTCAAAGAAAAGCAAACAGAAGCGAAACTTAACGAGCTATTTCTTGTAAATACCTCTATTCAAAGAAAAGCAACTTAAGCTCAACCAATCAGAAGTAGCCACACACTTAGCGCGTAACTAGGAACTTATCAAACAGGGCAACTGCATAATTGCAATCAATTTTATTTACCCATAAACGAGAGTACATGCCCACTCATAATTTATCATCAGGTTAAACCTCTTTCGGTTTGGTGTTTGCCAATTCATGAATTGCTTCTTGCTCAAATAAACTCTTTAAAATTTTATTGTGCCTCAGATTTTCCTTTAACAAGGTATGATGATAAATTAAAGTGCTGATTATACTCGAACTTTTTATTTCTAACTTAAACAAAGACATTTCAGTCCACATGGGAGAAATATCACGTAGTTACTTTTAATTAAACATCACATTTTCATATAATTGCAGTTTCACGTGCAGTTTTAAGAAATAATATCCGGGACATATACAGGAGAGATCTGGACAGATTTTCTGTAATGACTCAGCCGGGCAGATGCCCCTCTGATGTCTAGTAGAGAGATGGGCATTTAGACTGATCATGATTATACAGAACCATGAAAACTAAGCTAGAGCTAAGAGCAGCATGTCATGAAAAGTGGCAGACCTAAAGACAAATCTCCCCAAGAAGGTTGGGGCAATTGTGTCCCAGGAAAATAAGGGGACTCGGGCTAGTTCTACATGGATCCCTATCTTCCAATTATCTTCCACTATCAATGGTTCTTGAGGTCACAACTTTCACAGGTTTCCACCCCAGGCAAGACCAGTGAACTGCGGCGGGGACTGACAATGAACCAGGACACGAGGAACTCCTGTTTCCCTCTCTCAGTCCCTCCCAAAGCTCTTAAATCGCAGACCGCCGGGCCGGTGGAATCCCCCGCGAGTACCCCCAGAGTTCTGCAAACTCCAATGACGAGGGCGGGCCGCGACATCCGCGGAGCCATCAGATTTCTCCCAACGGCCTGGCCCGGGAAGATGCTCACCCGCCTGCGAATCCTGGCGAAGGCGCCTTCTCCTGCCGCGGTTCCGGAGCCCTGTGATGGCTCCTCTTTCCGCCCGACTCCTGGGAGCGCGGGTGGCGGGCTTTCGGGCTACCGGGCTCTGAGCTCCTCTAGAGGCGGCCTCCAGGCCCCGCCCCCAGAATAAAGAAAGTCGTATGCACAGAAATGTCACCAAAGCCAGATTTGACACTCCCCCCAACCCCTACCAGATTCAGAAAATCTTTGTCTTAAGTAGTTACAGGTGCAAACAGAAAAGATCCACCATTTCATTAAGCCTGGAAGTCTTTTTGTTGTTGTTGTTGTTGTTAGCTCATGCACCAAGATGTCCCTGGATTTCTTTCATCCAAGGCACTTGCCTAGCTCTGTTGCCTGCAGAACTGGCAGCTTCACCTCAATTGTATCTCTCCTAAAGCTGCTTTGTGGGATCTCTTGGACCCCCTGATCCCGTGATAAGGACCAAAAGGACGCCCTTGTCCCATGGCCAGATTTGGAGGCAGATCCCTGGGATTAGGGAACCAAGAGAAGGTCTCCCCGGGCCTGACTGTCAAAGAGGAGGGGAGAAGGGGGTGAACAGGTGGACGCGGAGGCTCTTAGCCGTGAAACTGCCCCGGGTGACACTGCAGCGGTGCACACGTGTCATTATTTCTCAAAACCCAGAGAATACACAACACAAAGAGTGAACCCCAAACTATGGGCTTCAGTAAATAATAATGTATCAATATTCGTTCATCAATCGTAACAACGGTCCTGCACTAATGCGGGACGTTAGCTCGGGAGATTACGGGGAGCAAGAGAAGGGATATGGGAACTCTCCACTTTCCACTTCATTTTTCCTTTTCTGTAAAGCTACCCTGAAATGATCTATTAATTATTCTTTTTAACAAAGTAGATGACTTTTTGTCAGTATTGTAATTGTTTTTAGCTCAGTGACATAGGAACCGATAATCATTCTCCACTTACATAATTTGTTGCTGCTTTTACATAAAGAAAGATAAACGCCCTCTGCCACAGGATACAGCAAGATTATAATTCTCTTACATGATAATGAAATGCCCTCTATCACATTTCAGAAGGAGCACCTCAAGAAGTTCCTTCACCTTTTCATTATCTCAGAAAGTATAGAAAAACATATGATATTAATATCTAAGTTTATTGCTTATCCAGCAAATACATATAGATAATATTGATTTTATTCAATCGTTAAACTCATTATGTATGTGGGACAAAGACTTTCATGCTTTCTATTTTCTTTTAAACTGTAACTTAGTTATTCTTTTTAGTCTTGGTGTTTCTTTTCTGAGTAGGAGATATGTCTACCCGTTATTTCACTATTGTTAAGGAGTTCTCAACTTATAGTTTGAGTAAAAAAAATTTTTGAAATACAAAAACATAATTTTTCCTTTAAAAATAATAATACCAGATGTAATTCTAATACACCCCTTATAAAGAAAAGTGTCTGTGGGAAATGACTGAATTTGAGTGCATGTCGTACTCTTTTACCTGCCTGTAATCTTGCTGGCTGGGCCAATTGTTGACCTAGGGCTGGTTGTGGAGCTCACAGACCCCTCAAGCCCATTGTCCACACCAGGTCACAAACCCTTCAAACGCCAGGCTGGGTCACCAGACCCCTCACACACAGGTCTATAAGCTAGGCAACCAGCAAACAGGTCTTTGGAAACCATAGGTTGGAAAGCATGGTCACTCCTGCGGTGGATGCCAGAGGCACTAAATGTCAGCCAAGTTGGCAGCAATGTCCATGCACTAAGTCCATCCACACCCAACTTATTTACAAAGAATGCACCACACCACCCCCAACCAGACCTAAGGCAGAGAGCCTGATTAAATTATTCTTTTTTCCCAACAATCCACCCCTTCAGGGTCTCTTGCTGTACAATCTATGCATTCAGAATCTTCTGCGATCCTCCCTTAGTGAGTATAGACGACCCTTACATTCACATATTACACATTCCATCCCAGTCCCAAAAGTCTTTAGCTTGTTGCAGCAACAACTCAAAAGTCCAAAGTCTTATCTGAGACTAAAGGCAAAACTCTTTTCAGCTGTGAACATGTAAAGAGTCAAAAACAAGTTTATCTACTTCCAAGATACAGTGGGACCAACATTGGGTACACATTCCCAATCCAGAAGGGAGGAATAGAAAGGAGAAACAGGCCCCAAACAAATCCAAAACCCAAACAGGGCAAATGTTAAGCATACTGGGACACCTGGACCCCTAAAGTGTTGGACAACCTCTCTCCTGCAGCTCTGCCAGGCACAGCCTAGTGGGCAGCCCTGGTGCCTGCAGCTTTTCCAGGCTGGCGCTGCACACTGCCAGCAGCCACCCCGTTCTGGGCTTCTGGTGGTAGCCCCGCCATTCAGTGTCTGGCTCCACTAGACATTTCCTTAGTGGGGGGTTCTCTGTGGGGGCTCCAACCCCACTTTTCTGCTCCACATTGCTCCGTAGAGGACCTCTGCAGCGGCTCCACCCCTGCGGCAGATCTCTGCCTGAGTCCCCTGGCTTTTTCATCCATCTTCCAAAATTTAGGTGGAGGCTGCCACACCTCCACTGCTCTCACATACAGCTGGCCTGCAAACTTAACACAATGTGGACACCACCAAGATTTTCAGCTCTTGCTCTTCGGAGATGCTGAGGCAGGATTGCTCCAGCCAGAGCAGCTGGGATGCAGCGAGCAGTTTGCTGAGGGCAGCAGTGCCCCAGGTCTGTCCTCTGGAGAAACTCAGTTCTCCTAGGCCTCAGGGCCTGTGATGGGTGAGGCACCCTTCCAGACTTCTGAAATGCCCTCAGGGCCTTTTCATTGTCTTGGCTATTAGCATATAGCTGCCCCATCCCTGGCTCCTGAATTACTTGAATCAGCTCGGCTTACACCGGCTATTCACTCACAGTCTTGGCCAGTTCTGTAGCGTTCACCAACAGTTTGAACAACTGCATTCACTGAGTCACTTTTTTCTCAGGTTTATACAGCACCTGGCCAGCCATCAGGTTTAAGTGGCACCCTCCAAGCCTTCTGCATTCAGACAAATGTGACATGTGTTTACTATATCGTCTCTAGAGCACATTACACCATCCACACCTAGGTCCGATAGCTGCAGCAGCCAGGGCCTCTCCCTGTTTCTGCTGCTTTACTGTCTCCCCAAGTCAACTAGTTCAGCCTCGGTATACGGGACATAGGTGGTGAACTGGGTCACCTGTGGATTGCCCACCTGTTGTCCTTCTTGTCCCAATATGCTGCTCGTGTCTCAATTTCTCATGTACAACAGGTTGTGCCTGGAGATGCATGGTTTCCCCCAACTCACCACTGGGCTGTTCGTCTTCTTTGGTGTGTGAGGCAGGAGTGGCCAGTCACTGCATGTCATCCTTCAGGACATTTATCTGTGCTTCCAACAACTCTGCTTTCCACTTAGAATCTGCCAGTAGCTGCACATCATCCACCAGCAACCCTGCCTTCTGCCGCAAATCTCCATCAGTTTGCAGCATAGTTAACAGCAGCCAGGCTCTGGTCAGTAGAAAAGTTGCCACCGGGCACCATATGCTCAAGGACAGCCACATTTCCTCCTTCTTCCAAGTGCTTTTAGCTCCTGTACTTCCTTGCTCAGAACCCTGTCGCAGACTACACCAATTGTAGACCTAGGGCTAATGTTGGAATCCTGCCAACATTACCCATTGTCGAGCTCTGGCTCTTTTACCTGCCCATAATCCTGCACCAACTGGGCCAATTGTCGAGCTAGGGCTGGGTCTGGAGCTCACAGACCCCTCAAGCCCGTTGTCCAGACTGTATCACAAACCCTTCACACACCAGGCTGGGTCACCAGACCCCTCACATCCAGGTCTATAAGTTAGGTAACCAGCAAACAGGTCCTTGGAAGCTGTAGGTTGGAGAGCATGGCCACATGGTGGACACTGAGGCACTAAATGCCAGCCAAGTTGGCAGCGCCACCCATGTACACTAACCCCACCCCCACACAACTTATTTACAAAGAAATGTGCTGCACCACCCCCAACTGGACCTAAGGCGAGAGGGCTTGATTAAATTATTCTGTTTTCCCAACAAGTGCATCATAACGGTTTCAAATGGATCTTGTTGGGTTTTTTTTTTTTTCATTTTTCAAACTCCAAAAGACAGGTTTGAAAATCTGATGGCAGGCTATTGTATTTTGACTGTGTTTTTCAGATGTATCATCATAGCAAATATCATATAAGTCCATTCCTATTGTAAATATTGAGAAATAAAACAATTTAGTACATAACACAGGACTGCTCATTCCTGGACCTACATTAAGAATTCTCCTGAACTCATAAGAAAGGCAATGTTCTATCTCACACATTAATGTCCTTTGTATATAAGGAGAGGTTACGTAAATAAGTACACAGCCTAGAATTCTTTTAGGACAAATACATATAAGTAAGTTATTTGGATTTTGAGTAAAACAATTATTTGCAAAGTCTGTTTCTGTTAGAAACTCTTACTGAAATTGGCTCAAATCTTTATTCCGTCTTATTCCTTATTATTACCTAGTAATCAAATTGCAAACATTTGTGTGAAAAGTGATATATTATGTGAAGTGTTAGATGGTGAAATTTTAATAAAAAGGCCTACTAGTAAACAACTTATTTTTCATTGAAATGAAAAAAACATTTATTGGCCTTTCTTGACCTGCCTATACTAACATAGTCCAGAGTTTCTCTGATAATAACATTGCATGGTAAATGTGGGATGTAGACTTATTTCTCCCTCCCGGTGCATACCAGAATTCACCCTCCCCCTGGGAACCTGTCCCTGACCAAGGTAGTTTACGTAAGGAAAGGCACGTCTCCATTAAGACAGATGGAAGACAGTGGGAAGCAGGAGCCCTGAGTAAATGAATTAGCATGTAAATGGAGTTAGAACACTGGTGTCAGCTATTCTGGTGCCAGGAGGGGTTTACTTATCTAGTCAGCCAGATCTCCTTTGAACTCTGAGTCTGGTGAGGGTCTACACATAAGCATGTGAATGATTTACACCTCTCCTTTGATCTGTTCACTATATAACTGTTGTATTTAGCTCAT